CCCACGCGGAGGAAGGAGGAGGTTTAGGTATCGTATATAGCCATGGCTTTTTTTTACAAGTTTAAGCAGTTGCGCCCCCTGAGTACGGACGTTAGTGTCTCCTCCATCTGTTTGCCTATCCTTTCTCTTTTAACCCAGTTATCTGGCAGCAGACATCCATACACACATCATAAAGGCATGTACCATAAGCTATTACCATCAGTTGTGCATGGTTAAAAATAAAGCACTTGCAAACATACAATGTCCACGAGAACCAAACTGTGGGTATAGCTGACCTGAGTTTTGCACTCACCTCAACCACAGACTTCTTGGGCAAAATGGCATGTCAAAATCACCATGAGGAAGATGCCATGAAATTCCTGTGATGTGAATGGTCTACTCCAGGCATAGGCAAACTCCGGCCCTCCAGATGTTTGGGACTACAATTCCTATCATCCCTAGCTAACAGGACCAGTAGTCTGGGATGATGGGAATTGTAGTCCCAAATATCTGGAGGGCCGGAGTTTGCCTATGCCTGGTCTACTCAGCTGACCAGCTTCTGGTCAAACAAATAGCTATATATCTGGTTTGAACGGATACATATCAGAGCATTCATACAAGGCCTCTCACCACGTCAAAAAAAGTCAAATGTTTGGTGGTTTCACGATGCACTCCTTACAATGAAAATGGCTACATGCATCGACTGCTATCGGCACATCCTTAACAAGCTATTGTCCATCCGCTTTGGTGTTTAGGTTCTCAATATATGAAATGGAAATAAGAGCAACCTCTAAAGTACTTAGGCAGTAAAGTAGAGATTGCATAGCACTTTATGGTGTGCTATATTATAAAATAATAAATTTCAGTCCAAAATAATGCACATTCATGGAATTTTTCCTTCCTTTCAGAAACTTTGTCCTTGAAATCCACACTCATTGAGGGCCTAGTTTGCTATTAGCAAATGTATTACTTGCCAGTGTCAACTGGGTATATGGGAATTCAGTATATAACTTGTGCTCAGATTTTTTGACAGGTGCCTGCTTTGATTTTAATCAGCCCACAAAGCAAACTAAACGAGCTCCCAGCTACCAAAGCAATGTAGCCCAAATCAAAGTTTAGCCAAATGAAAGATTCAAAGCTGAAGTTCTCCATGGGTTTGAATCAAATCCCAAAAGCCATCAATAGGAATGGATGCTCAAGTCTGAAAGGGAATCCAAAATACACTGTGGAGGCTCAGGGTCAGCTTGGGGGTGGCTTGCCTATTGAGTTACAGTGCCTTTCCGAATTCTGCCATCCTGCGCTGGGTGATATCCAAGTCATAGTCAAAGCAGAAATGATTGAAATGATTGGACTTGGCATTCAGGACAGACAAAGGGAAATATTTCTTCACATTTATTCACATGGTTCAACGATGGAGTTTCCTAGTGTAACAGCCAACTTGCATGGCTTTAAAAAAAAGTTTAGATGAATTCATGGAGAATAAGGCTATCAATGGCTACTAGTCACGGTGGCTGTGTACTACAACCAGAATCAGAAGTGGTATGCCTCTGAATACCAGTTGCTGGGGAGCATAGTTGAAAAAAGTGCTGTTGGGCTTGCAGGCTTCCCATAGGCATCTGGCTGGCTACCGTGCGAACAGGGTAATGGTTTATTTGGGTCTTTGGTCTGATCCAGAAAGACTCTTCTAATATACTTAAGTCCACTGATTTCACTGGGTCTACTCTGTGTATGACAAACACTGGATATCACATCTGGGGAGTTTAAATAAAATCATAGCAACCTTCATCACTGCCAAATTCTTTCTCATCTTTCTGGCACTTAATATTACAAAGACTGGTGCCTACTGTCTGAAGAACAGCTCTGACTAGCTCAAAAGCTTGCAACCTTATGCTATCACCAAAACTGGTGAAATGAAGGTATCACCTACATGGATCTTTAAAGTTTCCAAAGACAACATTAAAAACTAGAAGCAACACACTAAAAAGGCATGTTCCTAAACCTTTAAAAAAAAATCTTTTTCAAAATGTATTATGTTTTTGAATAGAGACATCACAATTTGAAATGCACCTTCTATCTACCATGGGTTTTCTTATTTGACTTATGGAGCAAGGTAATGCTAAAAATGCAAAAGCAGCCTAGATCACAGCCTAAATCACAGGCAAAAACATGAACTGGATGTACGTGTCACTGTAAACAGACCACAAGACACTAAGGAGGCACAACCTTGTGTAGAGATACCAGTGGCAAACGCTCCTGCAAAAAAACACATTCACACATTGCATGCAGGAGGGCATGGTGTAACTATCCTACAGCCACGGGATGCTTGTCCAACCATCTGGGCCTCTGCCTCCCACTCAGCTGACCAAGTATATATTATCAGGCCCAGAAAAGAAAAGGAAAACTGATTTCCAATAACGTTAAGTTCCCCCGAATTGATCTTAGTACCTAAAACCTTGATGGCTGCCCCATGGAGTTATATTTTATGATTATTTTGCCAGTGCACAACACAAATGTAACATGCCAAGACAAGGTCCACAATGCGCATTTCCCCCTCGTGCACAGCCATCCAGGTTCCACACCCACCACGAAAAGAACTTTGGTTGGCTTTGTGCCATCCCACGGCACCCCACATCCAGACCTAGATGTGGAAGGCGCCAAGGATGGAAGGATGGACACACACCAAACACGCTGACTTCTCTGACCAGAGAGAGAGAGAGAAAGAGAGGGAAGGAAGGAGCATGAGAGGGTGGAGGTGGGGGCAGTTACTACAGGCTGGAAAATCGATTTCTGCCTCTGAACAAGCTTCGCTTCCCAGATCTCCGGGTTCATTAGCACGGACTGGGCTTGACACCAATACAATTTCCACACCGCGCTGGCTGCAGCAGAGCAGGGGGGGAGGGGTGTGCATGCAGGGCCAGCTCTGCAAAGCCACTTCTCTGAACCCCCACCACCCACCCGCCAGCCATAGAACGTGTCAGGAACAGATTATAAAACTGCCTCCTGTCATTCCCCCCCTCCCTTTGGGTCGCCCCGTTCTTGCCTTTACCCTTTCTCAGGGGTTGCTTCTCTCCCTACCCACTGATGCACCAATGCCCACATTTCTCTTCATGCCCTGACCCTTCCCTATCTCTGATACTCCTAAATCTTCAGCTGTCAGGTCTACCAAGGAAAGGAAGCTCTCCCAGAGTATAGTTGCTTAGAGTAGGGGAAATCAGTCATCAGGACGCCTGGGTTCTCTCCCATGAGGTGGGGAGCGGGAAGGGAAGGGGAAGAAGGAGATCTACCAGTCAGCGGTTATTGCTAATTTGTTCATTAATAAGCATCCACATCCCACCCCAAAAATATCACTGCCGTCCCAGTTCTTACCCAGATTCTTACCCAGCACATTCCATATAATCCACTGCCTCATAATTTTAGGAGGCAGAAGAGAATTTTTCCCCAAGGTCACCTAGAAAAGCCCTTCATAGACCTCGGGAGCCCCAGCTCTGGAGACAGCCCTCCCCTACCTCCCTTCTCTAACTACTAGACCCCCATGCACCCCCCTCTCCCCTGTTCTGAAGGCCCATCACTTCAAAGGAACACATCCCCACTTATCTTTTGAGTTCAATGTCCATAGTCTAATGGTCGAGAGGTGCAATCCAAAAGTCTATTTTTAAGATGCGCCCAGACATAATAGTGAGGTGTGTAGAATGGGGGGGGGGCGCATAGCAGAATGAAATAGCTTGACACGGGGTGCCAGAGGAACTATACATCTTACGCTGACAACAAACAGTAACTAGAATACAGAGGAAATATCTAAAATCGGAAGAGGGGAGCAGTGAGCCACAAAGCAGACCCCAAATGCTGTGGGGTGTAGGGGAGGACATAAATTCCCCTTAAACACAAGGCCTGTGTTTATTTCCCATCCTGTTTCATTTCCCATCTGAAACACCCCATCCCAAGGAAGACAGAGAATCTGAACTATTCACAATTCCAGAATTTAACTTGCAGAATTGGTGGGTGGAAGAGGGTGGGCATAAGCAGACATGGGGGGGGGGGACTGGTCAAACTTCAACAGGAGATTATTGTTAGAAGCATTTGACTAGATGTGGGGAAGATTTGGAGGGAGGATCTGAAGCATAAAACCAGAAAATTTTGGTGGGGTGTTTGGCATGATTGCACCTGAAACTCGAACAGGATATTATTGGGGGACAATTGATGAAAAGGGGTACTTATGGGAGGCTGTGAACAATTTGACAGAACTGGCTGGCATTGGAGAAGAGGCAGGTGGGGTTATTTGGGGGCACCTTCCCAGACTGGATCTCACAGGTGCTTTCTGCCCACCCCCACCCCCTAATTCTCTCTGGGCTAGAAAAATCCTCCCCCACCAGCCCACCACCTGCCTAGCCCTAAACCTTACTTGGTGTTTCCCATATACCGAACAGAGGAAGAACCTCATAGGGAAATAATAGCAATATAATAAAAATAACTTGATGATTGGGGTGGGAGCAAAGGCTTCACCGGTTCCCCCCCACCCAGCCAGCAAAAGTGAAAGTGTGGGGGTGATCTCTCTTTTCTTTCTTTCTTTTTCTCTCCCCTTCTTTTCTCTCTTTTTTGCCCTGTCTTCTTCCACCGGCGTCTGCGTGCTGTTGGTTTCGGCGGCTGCCTTTGGCTTCTTTTCCCTGCTTACCACCCACCCCCACCGACCCCCACCCCCTCCGTCTATCGACCGCAGGATGCCGGCGCCGGAGGTTCGATACGGAGCAGTGACACTCCGGATCAATACCGCATGAATAAAAACCCCGCTCGCCCATCTCCGCTTTCTTCCTCTCCCTCTTTCCCCTTTTTCTCCCCTCCTTTCCCCCTCTTTCTCTCTCTCTCTCTCTCTTCTCGCCTGCAAGAGTTGCTGGCATCTCTCTCATTCTCTCTCTCTCTCTCGTCTTTTTCTTTCCCCCTTTCCCTTCCTTTCCCCCATTATGTTCCTTGCTGACTTGCCGGCTGCTTTCTTTCTCTTTCCGCCCCCTACACCCCCTTCTTCTTACCGTTTGCAGAGCGCAGGGCGAGCGGCGACTTGAGGCGCCATCCGTTCTCCGGGCCGGCGGATCTTTGGAAGACCAAGGGGACCGGCAGTGGGATGAACATGTCGGGGACCTGTGAGTGACACTCCGCATAACCCCACGGAGGGAAAAAAATATAAATATATATATAAAAGGGTGGGTGGGTGAGTGGAGAGAAAGGGGTGGCGGGCGGGCGAAGTGGGGGGGGGGACACATACACACACACACGCTGGACAGGTGACGATCGACCGAGGATGACAATCAACCCAGGGTGGGGGGGAGTGGAAATCTCTCTCTTCTCTCTCTCTCTCTCTCTTCCCCCCCCCCCTCGACACACACTGCTCCGCTTTCTGCACTTACACACGTGCGTGCATGGGTGTGTGCACGGGCAAGTGCGTGTGTGTTTCTCCGTGCTGCAAAGACGTGTGAGGTTTGGGCACTACAGCCGGACAGTGTGCATCGTTTTAAGGCTTTTTCAGAAAAGGAAAAGGGGGTGCGAGTGCGTGCAAGTGTGTGTGTGTGTGTGTGTGTGTGTGTGTGTGTGTAAAACACTGCGTGCCCCCCCCCGACAGTGCCTGTGTGTTGCCCCTTTTCACTAAATCAACGGGGGCCCCTTAGCTCCGTCCGAATCTTTCTCTCCCCCCCACTTCACCTCGCCCCCCTTTTCCATCACACACACACACACAGCCTACGATTCCCACTTTATTGTCTTCCCCGTTATCTCCCCCCCCCTTGCTTCTACCTCCCCTCTCTCCTTCCAACCACCCCGCTTTGACAAATGACATCCGAGCCAGCGACTTGCCGTCCCTCGCAATCCCCCCCGCGGGGGGCTCCGCTACCAACATCTCCCCCCCCCTTCCTTCTTCACTCTTTGCACAAATACAGTCCACCCAGACAAAAGCAATTATTCCTTAGGTACAAGCTTAGTGTGGGTGTTGAAAGGGGGGAGGGGAAAGAGAGTATGGATGAATTATTGACACCCCCCCTCAAGCAAATAATCTTCCTTCGCTTGCCTTCTTTCTAAAAAAAAATAAAAAATTAACACACACCCTACACCTGACACTTCCACTATCCCTCTTTTTCCAGGGCTAAAAATAAACCCCTTAATCAGCTTCATAAGGCTCCTCCATCCCCTTACTTAAATTAATGTGTGTGTGTGTGTGTGTGTGGCCCCAAACCAGGCACTCAGCGCTCACAGCCCCTTCCAGGTTTATTATTAGAAGAAGAGAGATTTACACAGATAATTACTACTAGGCACTGTAATAATAAAGGGGTGACCTTCCCCACCCCCCAAAAATAGCCCATGGGATATATAATGAGGCCAAGAGAGTTTCTGTAATAACTCTTTGACTTCTCTCCAGGAGACTCACTTTCTTTTACTTTCCTTCAAGGGGGAAAGCAGAGGCACCTGTCTGTTCATCCCCTAGTCTCTCTCTATAAGGCTTTGGGGAGGGACGTGTGTGAGAAAGCGACCTCTTCTGTGATCACTTTGGTTCCTGGCTCAGGATCACACCGTGCTTCTCTCCCCACCCAGGCCTTATCACCCATTGAAGGACTTGGCACATTTTAATGCACATGCATTCAGATGTTGCTTCTCTAGACGATGTTGGTTTCCTTATTTTCCCCCAACCTCCTTCTCTCCCACTCCCCCAACAATGTCAGGTCTGTGTAAGCCGCAGTTGGGGTCTCAACCCCAGCCAGCGCTGCTTCCTCGGAACTGGCAGGGTGGCAAGATTTGAGACAGACAATAGTTTCAAAAGGGAGTTCACCAACATGGATCGCTAAAGGCTTCGTTGCCTGTCATCGACACACAAATTTCTCCTGCACCCACCCTGCTGCCACTGGCCAAAAGGGTTTGGTAGGATTTTGCAACAACGCTGGGGGGAAAAACCCTGCCAGACCTGTCTAACTAGAGGACCACTTTTCCGAAGTGGCTTCAACCCTCTGGAGTGGAGGGATGCTACAGACTAGTTGGTACCTCTTTCTCCTGCTACTACTAACCCTCACTGAACCCCATCCGCCATACTTCCAGTTTGGTGCTTCTGCATCAAATCAGCCCTTGGAGAAACTGTTGTGTGGATGAGCTGTGAGTCACAGCTAGAGCCAGCCAAACCCCAAAACTTGAGTCCTGCCCCAATATTGCAGGATATTTCTTTTCCCCCATTTACTCTCTGGGTGCAGTTGGATTCTTCTCCCCACCTCCATGCACATATCCCTTATTACTCTATTATGATCTTGCAAGTCCTGTTCAACTGCATTTCAAACAAGTGGTCCAAAAGGAGATCAACAGCAGATACCATTATCTGTGTCCCATTGAACTCTCTTTTCATGTATCATTTGATTCCCCCCCCCCTTTTTTTTTTATTCCAACAGCCCTGGAAACATGGAGAGAGAGAAAGTAGATAGAGGATGGATGCAAAGATAGAAATGTGTGGGGAGAGAGCGCGGAGTGGAAGATAGACAGACAGACAATATATGAAAGGGAGGTGGGGAGAGAGAGAGACAGAGAAAGGGATGGACAGAGAATGGGATGGAAATATATTAGTGAGAGGCAGAAGGAGAGAGGAGAGGGGTATATATGGTGTAATATAGATAGATATCAGATTGATGGAGGGGCAAATAGATGAATATGCATGGGGCAGAGAGGGAAGGAGAGAGAGCGGGAAGAGAGAGAAAGAAGAGGAAAAAATAAGAGTTGGTGGGATAGAAAGAGTGCAATTATTTGATTCAGTACCACAGTGCTGAGGTCAGAAATTAACTGCCGCTAGCCTTAAAGTGGGGGTGTTAATATGTTCTCTCTCTCTCTCTCCTTTTCTCCCTGTCTCTAGGTCACAGAAGATGGAATGTACACATACATACACACATACACACACAAACGAACCAACCAACCAAGGCTATTATAGTAGACATTTTCCAAAATAATAACAAAAGCCAAACTGGGGATGATGGCTGTTTTTGGATAGTGTTTGATCTCACCTGAAGAAATTCTCTTTCTGGAGTGAAGCTGGGAAGAGGGTACATGTGCACCCCATTTCAGACTTCAAAGGGAAAAGGAAGGTCTGTAGATGCTAATAATAAACCACCGTAGGAAAGAGGAGCTGAGTTAATCACAAATCCACCCATCCAAAGAAACAAGGCAGTCACCTAACAGGAGGACTTGGTTCGTTTCCAGGAGAGCTGCTTCAGCCTGCATTGGAATTGCCCACCAAATGTAAATCCTGAACAGGCTACCTTGAAAATTACTCTTTTCCACGTTCTGATCTGCATTTAACAACGCTTAAAAGTAGTGCTTTGTAGATGAAAGGGAGTTCTTAGCAGCACCTGCGAAAATGCCCTTATAACTGCTGGTCCAATGAGGTATTGCCCCCTCTTCTATTTCATCCCAAATAAACTAAAAGAAACACACTGCTCTTTTAAAATGTGCAGCATGGATATGCCATTTCCAGTCTCCACCCTTTCTGCACCAGTATCTACTCTACTGGACATTAGAAGGATTGTTTCAATGTGATTTATTTTTATATTGTAACTACTCTAAACCAATGGGAATTGGGTGGGGTGGAAATTAAAAATATTCATCCTAAATACATCGCTAATCTCAAATTTAATTGCTGGCAAAAGTATTTATTGAATCATAGAATCATAGAATCATAGAGTTGGAAGAGACCACAAGGGCCATCGAGTCCAACCCCCTGCCAAAATTGTTTTGTTTATTTATTGTTTCCATTGTTTCCACCTTTCTACAACAGAACTGATGCATGGAGTAAGAGGTTTAAACAAGGAGACGTGGAACAGAAAAGTGTATGGAATAATGAGTAAACAGAGGAAGGTTTTATCCCTATAAGCCAGCATCCGAAGAGTTGAGCTCAATGGCTTGTGGGTGGGTCCCTGCTTGGATTCTGGATTACAGTATTTATTTCTTGAAACAGCAAAATTTTCTCCTCCGTGTCATATTACAAACTATTTAGTTTCAAAAACGACTTCTTTCTAGCATGCCAAACTTCCTTGCGTAAGAGGATCCAGTTGTGCCATTCTATGGATGTTGGCCTTAATTTCTCTCTGTAGACAGATCATATAGATGTGTGCATACACCTGTTTGCTTTTTCTTAAATAATCCAGCTTTTACATTGTTATTTGTGCATTCAAACTTCAAATATAATGGCACGCAATTAATTAGCATGCAGGTAATAGCCATGTGCAGGGTCCAAGTAAGGGATGGGCATTCTGCGTTTCCATCTGCATCACACAAGATGGATGGGAAGGAATATCCTATCCACACCACACAGTGCTAATGCGGATCCAATCAGCAATGAAGCGCTGGGCACTCTGTGCACGGTTCCCAATCCAATATCTGGAACTGTGTGTATAGCTGGGTGCTGGCATCCAAACAAAAGATCTGCTCATGTAGCAATTTTGCAGCGTAAACAGATCCTGATCCAGAAGATGAACCTGCATTATGTATGGAAACTTCTTGCTGGATTGGTTAAACTTGTATATCCTTTTTCTGTGAACTGATTAATCCAGAGCAAGTAGCACCATCAACTTAGATGGATAAGAATCATCACTAAACATGCATACACACTCTTTGGTCACTTCAACCATGCAGATTATGTGTACAAAAGGTAAATTGAAATATGAGAGAGAGAGAGAGAGAGAGAGAAGCCACTCTCTATTAAATATTATTTAGAAAACATTATTGCTATCCTGCAACGTACAAGATGTTACTTTGCAGTTCTGGAGTTAGATATGTCTTTTGCATGTATTAAGATACTTCCTGTCTTCATTTAGAATTAAAAACTGGGAAACATGAAATCTCTTTCTACCCCTACCATATCATATTTGTTTACCATTTAAATGTTTGTCGTAAAAAGATGTGCAATTTCAGCCTTTCCTCCTGTACAACCTAGCATCCTCACTACAACCTGGGCCTACCTTCAAAGAAATGGAAGGATCTAAAGGACTATGATGTCGTGGCTTACAAGCTCAGTACAAAAGAAATAAAGATTTGGAAGAAAAATTCAATAAGTGATCTAATAGAGCAATTAATGGACTGTCTGAAAAATTACCAAGAAATCTGGAATGAACACTCTTTTCCAGTTTTTCATTCCAAACCTTATTAAGATTTGGTTGGTTCATTTTATCTTTTTAAAATGCAATTTGCTAATTTGGAGGCAATAGTGGGGAAATCGAGAAAGAGGTTTGGAGGAGGTGATAATTTAAAGAGAGAGAAAGAGAGATTGAGATTTAATCAGAAATAGTTCTCCTCCTACAGAAAGTAACATAAAATTAAAAGAGGAAATAAAAGGAACAGAAAGAATGGAAGATGGGATTTCTTTGTTGCTGCGGAACTCTCGCTGGGATATCGTCAATGAATGGGGGGGGGGGGCATCGTTCTTTGGCTGTCTTCCACTCTATCTTCTTTTAGGGGATAGGGAGATACCTGCAAAGCATTTTACCCTCATTCCCCAGTTCCTAAAAAAGGGAAGGTAGGAAAGTGGATGTGATATTTGCAAAAAGATTGCTGTAGTGGGAAACTAGTAAATATACAGAGGAGTTTTCTCACGTAAGACATGGAAGAGAAAATATTTGGGGTAAGCCTTCAGCAATAGGGGGCCGGGCCTCCATGGTCAACTTTGCTTTATCCCACACATGGGCAATGAGACCAGCATGGTTTTTTTAGAGTGATCCTTTATGACTTTTGGGGAAAGGTGTCATCCTGAATTTTTCCACTGAAATTCCACTGCAGTAACCTGTGCCTTTTAACATGATCAGAAATTGTACAGTTTGATGCTTTACACATTAAAAAAATGTTCAACGAAACAATAAAGCCAATTTCAACCCACCCTGAAAAATAAGTAATGGGAGACTGTCACTTATTTCAAACTACAGTTTTGTGGATTCAGTGGGCCTTGTTAAGAAGAAAAGACAACATGCACACCAGAATCACATTCATAGGTATGTTTCACCTAGTCCCTCCAGCCCTGGATTAGAAGAAAACAGAGGCCAAATCCATTTTCCTTGCCACTTTGCAGAAAATGTAGACATTTGGCCTGATTGTACAAAGATCTGTTCTTGATCCCTGCTCCTCTAACTCGAACTATTAGCAGCAGGCAATAGTGAAAACGTATGAATAAAATCCCATGTCACAGAATCAAACATAGCAGTATCTTTTTTGTATGATGATGTATTTGGCAGTTATGTTCCTTACAGTTTCTGGCCAGCAAGCGAAGAAGGGGCAGGTATGTTCAGGAAGAGGGGAAATGCCAGCACTGCAGCAACTCTCACCAGTGAAATATCAAGCCACTGTTCACTTTTTAAAAAGAGGCTTCTCCCATTGTCAGCAAAAAACAGCAAGTGAAACACTACCTGTGTGGGGGGTCCATCTCCTGCATGCATATATTTGGACCCTACCCCTTTAGCTCTTTCATCTTCCCGAATTCATAACCCTGCAAGGTTAAGTATTATAATTCCCATTTTACAGACATAGCAACTTCTCCAGTGCCAGCCAAGGCACCCATGGATAAATACCGACAGCATCAAAATTTCACATGCCTGGCCAATCAAATAGCCAAGACTTCTCCAGACTTCATTGTTTGTGCTTAAAATAATATAATGGTCCTGCCACCTACAATATGCTCTGCTCCTGACACAGGACACAGGTTAAGATCCCTTGGAAGAATGCAGGCCAGACTGCCAGATGTCACTAAGCATGTCCCCATCTTCAGCCAGAACTCACAGTGATGCCCATGAACCATCCCTGCCCATCAGCTTGCCCAGAAAGTGAGATGGAATCAAAAAAGAGACAGTGGGATTCCTCTAAGGGTCACAGAAACAGTCGGTGAGCAGCAAGGACAGAGTCTCTACCCACAAGGCACTTAGTCAAGGCTTGCCCACCCGTACATATTTTGATTATTTTGGTTTCCTAGCTGTGTGCCCTAAAATCAAAGCATTAATTTCCCTCAGAGAATTTAGAAATCTGGGTGCTGAAGCTATCCCTATCCTAAAAGCAAAATACCTCTGACTGCTTCTCCTGCTAGTAGTTTAGACCCCAACTAGACATGATATTGGAGTGGCATTAATGCATCTCTCAGCACCTTTTTCTTTTCCAGGCAAGTAGCAGCTGTGGGAAAAGTCAGTTGGAGCTGCAGCACAGTGGAAAGGGAATTAACCCTCTGAATGCCAGGTGCTGATTTCACCAATGAAAACCTCAGGCACACACCTACTGCTATTAGCTGCAGGGGACGGACGGACAGAAAAGTATCTATATTATATATCCTACATGGCTAATAGCCACTCTTGGGGTAGGTATAGGGGTAGGAATGCAATTTGAATCTGGGTAGAAGTGCAAGGGGAAAAGGTTAAAGGGCCATACTCCTGTAGTCTTAGTCTGAATCAGGACCCCCAAGTGGCTGCTCTTAGAAGAAGAGAATTATGTCAGGAAATCCAATCGCTGATCATCCACTTAGGCTTTTGGGGTCAGGGTTAGCCTCAGAAAGTTGGAGCACATGCCTCTGTATTTATTTCAGTAGGGTGGCCTCCTTCATTCACACTCCATTGATATTTCCATACATAAAACGTCCGGTGTATCTACACTACAAATTTTGGTTTTGAAAAAGTCCCTTTGTTATGGCTACTCCCACAGAATCCTGGGTGTTGTGGTATGGTGATGGGGTTGGCAGTTCTTCCTTGGAATTTCCTAGTTCCCCTCACAGTATACTTCTCAAGGGAGAAAGAAAGACCCTGGAACCAGCTTGCGCTTAAATTGGTGCATACCGTGAAGAAAAGCCTACGTTGGCCATACGTGCTTTTCCTTCCGTATTCTACCCTGCGTCAGTGACATTTACTGCGTAGCTTCACACTGCATGCATACGTGGGTAACAAGAGTCTGACAACTAACTGCTTCGCCTAGGGAAAAGCCAACTTTTGGATGGCAATTTTTGAGCAGAGAAGTGGCAGGGGTGTGCTTAATCCCTTCCCTGCCTGTGGCTCCAAATCATACACACACCCTCAGCCCCTGCAGAGAGCATGCGCGTTTTTGGCACCGGAGGTGCACAGGGCTGGCTTGGAGCGGAGCAATTTGGAGTGGAGAAGTAGCAGCTGAAAAAGGATTCGGCACACGAGGCACACTCAACTGCTTCTCTGCTCGAAACCACCCCCTCCCCAGTGCTGCTTTTGCCCAAGAAAAGCAGCCATCTTTCGATAAAGGCCTGTGCATGTAACACGTAGTTCTGCCGCTGCATCTGTCACTAATACAATGAGAGAGTTCCAAACGTGCTTTTTAGGGTCTTTTTCTCATTGATTTTTCTTTACGGGTGGGGAGTCAACAGCCTCCCCCCCTGCTCACACGCCCCAGAAACAAACTTTGCAGAACAACTGACCTTTCAGGCAGAAGTGGCAGCTGTAGTACATTCACTCCAGTCCAGTCCAGAACCTGAGGAGAGAACAGAGTGTCAGAAAAGGCCTGGGATGACAACGCCACTCTCACGGGCGCATATCAAAGGAACAGCAATGTATGCACAAACACTGCACAACTTGCACAAGAAGAAATGAGATTTCATTGAATGCTCAGGAGGGCCCACTGGAAGCAGACGTTTTTAAAAGAGTTATTAAAAAGTATCTTTACCTCAGTCGGACACACACACTCACATTTATTTTGCCTCACTGTCATCTCCAGTCAAACAGACTTCGAAAGGTTTTCGAAAGTCCTAAAAAACCTGCACAACCTGTTTGATCGGATATGCTAATAGCACAGGAAAAGCGAATCTCCATAACCAGAGAAAACAGTGGTTCTCTCCAGCAACCTTTAACCATCTGGGAACAAATATATAATCTGTTTTTAAGCCAGGCAAAACATTAAAGGTGCCACCTTCTTTCCCCCGCAGCACACAGCCTGTGTCTTACGAGACTGTGTGGTCTCTTCCTAGTCTGCCTCACCTTAGCTCTGGTTTGGGGTTTTTCCTTGGTGCTGGATTTTTTTTGAGCTCAGACCACTCTCCACCAGGCTCAAATGACTCATGAGAAATGTGGTTTAAACAGTGGTCTGCCCCAACCATGTATAAAGCAGGGGTGCAGCCATTTTCTAGAGCAAAGGGATATGTGGACGACGAGGGGAGCTGAATCCTTACCAGCCCCCAATCTGCCACATATCTCCTCATATCATCTCGCCACAGACACTTTTCTCTCTCCTGAGCTTACTTCCATGGTTGTTGCCCAGAAGTGGGGGGAAGTGACTTCAGAAAAGAGACTGTGAGAAGGGAGGATGCATTCATGAGGGAGAAGGTTTAGCACCGTTTTTATAAAAAAAAAGCTCACCAGCTTTGAAACCCGCCCCCAGACCTCATGCCTCAGAAAACCAACCCCCACTCCTCCATTTCAAGTGTGACTAAATCGGGCCTAGATTTAAACACAGGCACTGTTCACATGGAGTTGAGCCTCAATAAAACTCAGGCCGCACTTTCACCCCACTATGACACTATTGTAAACAGCAATGGCTTCCCCCAAAGAATTCTGGGAGCTGTCCTTTGTGCTGAGAGCCGTTCCCCTCACAAAACTGCAATTCCCAGATTTCCTCCTGAAGAGGGATTAATTGTTAAACCGCTCTGGGAATTGTAGCTCTGTGAGGGGAATAGGGTGTTTCCTTACAACCCTCGGCACCCGTGACAGTTCGCAGGATTTTGGGAGGAAGGGGAAGTCATGGCTGTTTAAATTGGTACCAAGGTGGTTTGCATTTGTGGCCTTCTTCTCTGACAGTTTCATTCCTGGATACCTCGCACTCTTCTCCCACAGAACCAATCCTGCACAATGGTGCTTAATGGTGGGGTCGGCCATGACAGGGCCTGTTACCAAAGCAACTTAACTTTGTAGGTATACCTCAGACAGAGGTGGCCAACCTTTCTGGCAAGGGGGCCCCATATCGAGAGATAGTATGCACCTCTCCCCAAACGCCTCAGAGTAGAGTTGCTTCCATCCTATGGAAATGCAAAGGGTGTAGTATCATAGCGTTGTGAAACGGCAAGGCAGAGAAAAGGCCCCGGCTAGCTCTATGCCAACCACAGCTGGGTCTTCCTATTTTTTTATCTGCGAGTACCACAAACCTCTGGTGCCAGCACCATTGAGCACCTATGCCAACAGTAGCCTTTGCCAAACTATATGTGCACCAGGATAGAAAAACCCAGACTCTCCGTACCTAAAATAGCAGACCTGCAGACGTCAGAAAGCAGGATACTCCTATAAAACTTTGCTGGATCCTAAGATTCCCCAATGCCCTTCATTACACAGAACATGGAAAGGTAGACGCACTCATAGTGAGCTACTGCAGCGAAGAGGCACACAAATTATGCAATCCACAAACGGGCCTCTTTCAAAGTTGCGTTTATCCTCCCTTGTGGAGAAACAGGGGGAAGCTAAAGATCCACATTAATTTTTCGGAATCGGTACTTGAGAAGAATAAGCAGAAATGCAACGCTACGGATCTTTCTTCGAAAATACACACGGATGGTCAATTCAGATGAAACATTTTCCTCCGAGCATTTTTTAAAACAGGGCTCATAGCGAAGAATTCCTTTGTAGAGAAATAAGCGCTGTTGTCAAAACAGGGACCACCAAAAAACGGCCTTGCATTTGCAAGAGCTCACTTGCAAACACCCAACCCATCTCATAAGGCCACACCCAAAGTGTCCGACCACAACTGTCCTCTTAGGACCCCCACACACCTCTTCCAGAGTCCTGGCTCGTAGCTTGTGGCATTCCTGCTACGGCCCACTGAAGCCCACTCCCCATTCCCAGTGCCGGAATCCAGGTGTCCTGGTTCTCCGTACCCTCCAGAATTGACATAAAACTCCCCCCTGCCCCTCGCACCCCCCACCCCTGGCTACGCAGCGTACCCACAGTTGTTCCTGCTAATCAGCCGATGTCATCTGCGGAGTGAAGTCTTTGCTTAAAGAGATTTAGGGCAGGAATCAATAGGAAATTTAAAAATCAATGCGGTTAGTATGAGAAAATCAATGGCGTTTAATCGGCCTGCCGATCCCCAGTCACAACAATTAGAAGGCTGGGATGTTCTACATCCCGCTACACACCATTAGCGTCAATATTTGTGTAAGTGATGGCAGGGGGCAGTTGGGGAGGGGAAAGGGGGGGGAACCCCAGTCT